TAATTAAGAAAAGGATAGCTTAAAACTAAAGACTGAGGAAAACCCTACTTCTCCTTGACTCAAATCAAATCACATTAGCAGCTAACTCTAAAACAGATGAGAATGTCTGATAGTACCAAGGTCTGTATATTTAAAAAGAGCGACAGAGAGAGAGAGAGGAAAATTGTCTTTTGAAAACATAAAAAAATACTCTTAAGTAACATGACTAGAAAGTATCAGAGATAACGTTAAGATAAACTTTATATTTTATCTGAACCAACCAACTGTCCCTCTCCCTCTCCTTCTGGAAATAATGATCTTCAGGCCTAGTTAGATCTTTCTTAATAAATCTCACAACATGAAATTCATAACTAGAAGCATTCTGACATCTTAAAGATAATCCCTTGCCACAGACAGGATAAATTTCCCCTCTTGACATTTGATTTTTGCACCTCCTTGCTCAGGCAGTAGGATTTCTCAGCCTCTTATGTCTTCCATCCTCCAAAAAGAGCTGTGACAATTCTTTAGGGAATTCTCAGTCTCAGGAAAGGCCCCAGAGGAGAAGCTGTTTGGATCTTTAAAAAGACCCTGAGTTTTAAACAGGAAGTATTCTTGCAGCTGAGCAACCATCTGTCCTGAGCTCTGGATGGAAGTATGCCCGCCAAACCCTTTTCTCTCCAGCTGTCAGTGCTCAGGTATGTATTGCAAGTACAGTTACATAGAGAACAGGCAGAACACAGATATAACTAGGTATATACAACTAGGGTCAAACACTGAGCTCTCCGTCTTAGCCCACATCACATTAGTCAACACAGCTTTGAGTGGCTGAGGGACTCGGGATCGGAGACTTGTGATTCTAGTTTTAGCTTCATCATCATGTATAATCTTGCAAAAGTCACGTTCATCATTTTGTTTAATCTTTGCTGCCTCTCATCTCTTTTCTCATCATTTGAAGCACTAGTTCCTTGATGTTGGAAATTGAAATGGTAATCTCTACCTTTCTTACCTTACATTTGTATTATGAAATAAAGTATGAATGTGAATTTGACATAACTTTGTAACAATCCAGTTCTAGGTGTACTTAGCTAGATCATGATTGTCCTTGGGAGTAATTCTGCAGACTGTCACCAGCACAGATGCTGATAATAGTAAACACCTTTGTGTGAAATTATATGAGGATTAGGAGAAGCCATCAGACCGTTATTGTATTGTTGCTCAGTCTGCCTCTTCTCTGTCTGTCATAGACAGTAGAATGATATCTCTTTATTTCAATCAATTTGAGCTGAAGAGAGGATTGTGTACCAAGTAGTCCAGTGGAGGACTATCAGCTAAACTTCTCTGATACATTGATCTGGAGGTGTCATTGAGGAAAATGTAGAAAAACTGCTCTAAAAATTATTCTGTTTAATGCATCCTGCATCTCGTTCACTTATTTTCTATTTATTCATTCATACATGTATTTGACATTTATTGAGCAAACTTTACTAGGTTTCAATTCTGTGCCAGGGTTACAAACTCTAGTGATGCAACAATTCCATCTCTCTGCTGCTAGTCATAACTTGCTTTTATCTTTTTTTGTTGTCTCCTCATACCTTGCACACTTGGTTCTTATCCATATCCAAAACATAATATTCAAGGAATATATTTTGAAAGTGAAATAATAGCTGAATGGGATACTAGGGATGCAGATTTTCACTAGGTAGACAGAATTATTCCCCCCCTGTCTAAAGATAAAAGAGTGAAATAGATGACCTCTAAATGTTTCTTGTATTTCTTAAGCTCTCTAAAATAGCTCAGAGTAAGATTGATGGAAATCAGTTTCACTGTTAGTTCACCGGCAGAAAAAACACACACTGTTCGCATCTTTCCTTAACTGATGGGGCATTTTTCTATCTTTATTATCATTTCTTTTAAAAACTATGTTACCACTTTCTCTCTTAACCAATGCTCCCAATTTCAGAATGGGCTTGCATCACTGGTTAAACACCCACAGCAAGCTCTCCAGATCCTATGATATTCACTTTTTCCTTCATAGTCCACTCCATCCCCACTTCTTTTTTTTTCATTTATTCCTTTTTTTTTTTGCTGTATCTTCTTATATCCTTTTCTTTTTTGCCCTTTAGAAATCATAAAAAAGAGGTTCGTATTGTGATCTTTTCAAAATTTGAATTATGAGTGGCAAAAGCTGGACTTTTTTTTTTCTTTCTTAATCCTCAGCCCTTCAATATCTCTCTTACTGAGGTAAAGGAAGCTTTTTCAAAGAATATTCACAACTTATCGCTCTTCCTTTAAAAATTCTGATTTTCTCACCCATATGTAGGTTTTCTCTTTGAGGAAAACTACACAGATAATAGACTTTTTACTTACTCTTCCTCACCCACTGATAATTAAAATCTTCATAATTATTTTCTGGTGCATTGAAACAGTCCCTGAAAAATTAACAATGGCCTCGTCATCATAAGCACAATGTATTTTTAAAAACACTTATTCTGCTTTATATCTTCTTTGTAGTCAGTTCATAGTGGTAATTTGATTTTATCAACATTATGTATTACTACTTTCATCCTGTGTTTCTGATTCCCCATTCTCTTTTCTAGTTTTCATATTATGACCTACACTCAATTAAAAGAATTTCCAATTTTATGAATTAAGTCCCGCCTTTCTTTTTCACGTTGCATCTTCTAGCACTTTTCTTCATATTCATAGCAGATATCCTATAACTGAAGCCCTCACTCAAACCAAAGATCACCACATAAGATATCCTCTATACAATCTCCCAGGATTTCCTTTTAAAACTTGCATCCAACAAATCTTAGAATGAATTTAGTTCCCAAAATATGTTTCCTCTCTTAAAAATTGTTTACATAAATTTAAGGGGTGCAAGTACAGCTTTGCTACAAGAATGCTTCAGGTAGTGGTGAAGTCTAGGCTTTTAGTTTATCTGTCACCCCAATAATGCACATTGTACCCATTAAGTACATTCTCATCCACACCACCTACCACCCTCTCATTCTTCTGAATCTCCAGTGTCTCTCATTCCACACTCTATGTTCATGTGTACATATTATTTAGCTCCCACTTATAAGTGAGAACACGTAGTATTTGACTTTCTGCTTGTGAGTTATTTCACTTAAGATAATGGCCTCCGGTTTCATCCATGTTGCTAGAAAAGACATGAGTTCATTTTTTTTGATGGGTGAATGGCATTTCATTTTGTGTATACCATATTTTATGGCCAGAAAGCATATGAAAAATATTCAACATCACTAATCATCAGAAAATGCAAATTAAAACCACAACAGAATATCATCTTATACCAGTTAGAATGGCTAATATTAAACATTTTTTAAAATAACAGACATTAGCAAGGAAGTAGAGAAAAAAAGTGCTTGTACATTGTAGGTGGGAATGTAAAATAGTATTATATGGAAAACGGTATGGAAATTTATCAAAGAAGTAAAAATAGAACTACCATGTTTCCTTTCTATTGTTATCCATCTTGGCCCACCTAATGTTGTTCATAGAATGAAAATGGCTATCCACAGAATTGTTCAAGGTAGGAGTCTCATGATGTTTATAAGTTTGTTTTTTAGTTGTCTGATTCTTGAAATCGCTACTGTGCTATGCTATGATAACGAGAAATATGTTGCAAAGACCAAAATATAAACTCTAGAGTTGGCTGGCATGGTTGGAAGTTTATCATCAATCCTTATTTGCTCTGTAACCTTACTCATATTACTTTTTTTCATCTGTGGCACGATTTTTTTTCACCGGTACTGTACTCCTAATAGAATTACTAATATAGAATTGGTGTCAGAGTTGAATGATATAATGCACATTAGGAATTTAGAAAAGTATTTAATAAATGTTATCTATTTAAGCTTTTTATGCACATGATAAGCAGTGTACTAGTCACACCACACTTAAATACATAGAACACAAATATAACATTTTGCAGTCCTGATTTGAGCATCTCATATCGCATGCTTGCATCAAAATACCATATGTACCCCACAAATATGTACCGCTATTATGTATTCATTTTGAAAATTAAAAAAGTTCTGAAGTGAAAGCAAAGGAGAACTCAGTTTAAATATTACAGAAATAGTCTATTACCTGGATGTCATATAAATCTAAGCCCCAGAGGCAAAGATAACTCTGAATGCCTTCAGATTGTTTTCTCATTCTAAACTAAAGATTAAAGACTTTTACTGGTAATCTCAGATTTATTTCCTTTCTTCTTTGCATTTCAGACCTGACACGCATCTCCCCTGCATTACCGTATTTCCACCTAGTCCTGCTTTAGCTATCCTAACATTAGAAAAACACATCTCTCTGAGAGTCTCTAAGAGCTAAGCCCCAAATCCCCTTTCCTAAAAGTATTCGTTTTCTGACGTCCCACCTTATTCTAAGATGTTCCTCAGTTCCAGCCTTTATATTTGCCTACTACTACCATTTGCCTCTTTACTCACCAAAAGCTGTTATTTATCCTCAGGAAAAGCATTACTTTGGTAATAAGGTAAAAAGTTCAAGGAGTCAAATAACCACTAAATTGTTTCGTTGATCTCCCCTGTATGCCAAGTTCTATGGAATGAAACAAAATCTCCAAGCTAATTACAAATAAATTTGAAGGCACATTATATGCATGTATCCTAATAGACAATCATGCAAAATGATATGTACTATCAATTCCTCATGTATGTAATGCAGATTCTGGATGCTTTAGTGATTGAATTGGAGGAATTTCAGAGAAAAACACAAAAAAAGTGTAATGTTAGGTGATCTCATTAAATTTCTGAAAAGTGGTCACTGATTTATATCTCGCCATAAGGCTAAATACAGGGCACCCATTGGCTACAGTAACCTACTATAAAAATCTTCTTCCTAGATTCTCTAGGAAAAAACTTATAGATCAAGCCCCCAATTCTTTCCCATGCCATCTTCTGATCTTTCCTGACTCATTAGTCATTTAGATAAGTGACAATTATTCTTTGTCATTCTCAAAAAAAAAAAAAAATCTTATTCTGTATTGCAGGTCAGTGAATTCACGATTGTAAAGGCATGATAATTCCTTATAATCGCAGTTTCCAAATGGCCACTTTCTTCCTGACAGGCTTTCGAGGTCTGGAAGATCTCCATGACTGGATCTCTGTTCCCTTCTGCTTGATCTACTTCACAGTTATCTTGGGGAACCTTACCATTCTCCACATCATCCGCACTGATACGACCCTCCATGAACCCATGTACTATTTCTTGGCCATGCTGGCCCTCACAGACTTGGGCCTTTGTCTGTCTACCCTGCCCACTGTGCTTGGCATCTTCTTGTTTGATGCCAGAGAGATTGGCATCCCTGCTTGCTTCACTCAGCTCTTCTTCATCCACACCTTGTCTCTGATGGAGTCGTCAGTTCTTTTGTCCATGTCCATTGACCGCTATATGGCCATTTGCAACCCACTGCGTTACTCCGCCATCCTGACACCAGCACGTATCGTCAAGATGGGGCTGAGCTCAGTGCTAAGAAGTGTCCTTCTCATCTTTCCCCTGCCGTTCCTCCTTAAGCGTTTACAGTACTGCCACTCCCACGTACTGTCACATGCCTACTGTCTGCACTTAGAGATCATGAAACTGGCCTGCTCTAGCATCGCTGTCAATCACATCTACGGGCTCTTTGTTGTGGCCTGCACGGTGGGTGTGGACTCCCTGCTCATCTTTCTCTCCTATGCCCTCATCCTCCGCACTGTGCTGAGCATCGCCTCTCGCCAGGAGCGACTCCGAGCCCTCAACACCTGCGTTTCCCATATCAGTGCTGTGCTGCTCTTCTACATCCCCATGATCGGCTTGTCTCTTGTGCATCGCTTTGGGCAGCATCTTCCCCGCATTATACACCTTCTCATGTCCTACGTGTATCTGTTGATACCACCTCTCATGAACCCCATTGTCTACAGCATCAAGACCAAGCAAATCCGCCAGCGCCTCATTAAGAAGTTTGAGTTTGTAAAGTCGCTTAGGGGTTTTCAGAAATGTTAGCTTAGAGAGAAAAGAGGGAGGTTTGGGCATGTGGTCCACAGTTCTTTTTTGTTTGTTTGTTTGTTTGTTTGTTTTTGTTTCAGCAATGATGTGATGAAAATAATAAGTTACTGATTATCAACAAAAGGTAAGAAGCGGTGCAACATACAGACAGTGTGGTCAGAGAAAAGTTATCTACTGCTCTGTTCTTTTTCAATTGTACATCTTATTTCCTTATATGGATGATTTGAAGGTTTAATGAAACAATTCATGTAAATTTCTAGCACACTGTCTGGAAAATATACACTTCTCAATAAATATTAATTACTATTTTTAAAAAATCCAAAAGACTACACAAATTTTAATCTTTCAATCCTCTGGTAAGTAGAATTTGATTATGATTGATTTTTTTTAATATGTTTAAATTTATTTAATTGATGGTACTTTATTATCATTTTTTTCATCCATAGCATATTTGCATATATTCCTATCTACATCCCAGGTAATGACTTTTCTTGATGGTGCTTGCTAAGCACATACCTAGAAAATTAAGAAAAAGAGCAGATGCTTTGGGAGTTTGAAAAAAAGTATCCAGTTGAAATAACTCAAAAAATATTATTGGATAATTCTTAAAAAAAGGATAATTGAGTTTGAGGGTTTTCACTCACCATAAGTAGGAAAAATACTTGTCTTCTTTCTTTAGTTATTATATAAATAATGAATGAACAGGTAAGAGAAAAGCATATGTTATGTTATGCTTATTTGCAAGATGTTCTCTCTGTGTCTAGCCATATCTAACAAACTATGCACATACACACAATACTACTGCACACTACTGTGTTTTTTTCTGGGTATGTTTTGATGTTCCTTTGTGTGTATATTTCCTGTGTCAAGCTTGTTTGTGTTGGTGTATATGTTCCAGTTGGCCAGTTTGTGTGAATGCATTTCTGTACATTATTATATGTGAAGATAAGGAAAGAGTAAGCCATAGCTCTTTATATATTCATATATACAGACATGTCCTGCACTACAACTTTCTCTGGAGTCATGGAAAGGGAAGTTTTGGCTCAGCAATGTCTTCCCTTTCCAGTTGTCTTAGCTTGACTCCAGATACCAAAGAAAAAGTCATTGGAGGAGAAACACAAAGACGTAACATTTTACCATGAAGAATAAGCAAATTTAATTAGTAGTTCTAGAAGGAAGTTGACATTAAAAAATAATCAGCTTTTGATAATCAACTTTAAAATAATCATCTTTCCCTGTGAAGAAGACATCTAGAAAGAGAACTGTAAACTTAACCACTTTTGCATAATTTGAAATAGATATATGTGGATATAAATACATACAAAGGTGCACATTTATTAAAATAATAGCTCCAGCATTTCAAATATGTAAACTCATCAAATATATGTCCTAATAGAATATCAAATTTTGAGCAGACACATGCATTGAACAAAAATACATACACACTCACAAAAATGAAACAATACAGATATGCACATGCATGCATATCTGCCTCAAATTATAAACTTGCATAACTTTATTTAGTGAAGTATACACCTCAGTGAACTGCCACTCTATTCTCATCTTATTTTATTTTATGCATGTTTTACAACCTAGTCTTTACCCATGCTGGGCCACTTTGGAATAGTCAGTATGTTTTTGCCTTTGCCAGGCTGATCCCCAAGGCAGAATATGGGGCAAATTGAGTTGTACTAGAGGTCCCTGGACTAGGCTGAATTTTGAGTCTAGGAAGAATGAGGAACTTCACTTTCACACAGTTTAAAGAAGATAGGTAATCCATCCACTTATCATAAGAGTATGAAGTCTTACAAGTTGCTTCTTTATCTTCTGCCATTTGTCAGTTGTCCCTTAAACACCAATTTGTTATTCAACTCCTGGAAGATTGTTTTGAATTCAGGACAGAATCTAAATAAGTTCAAGTGGTTTGAATTCAAAGATTAGCTTTCCCTAGATTCACAAAATTCAATACTCACTTGTACTTACACTGCTATGTCTCAGCAAACACTAAAACACTAAAACACGAAGTCTGATATCTGTGAGTAATGAGAGTAGCTGGAATTATTCACTACTGGAAGCATTTTATTTTCTGAATTAAAGCATATATTTCAAAGTTATGATAGAATATTAGAAACATATTATTATCATATCTGGATATTGTATAGGGAATCAACATATGATGGTGAACCATAAATATATAGGTAAAACAAATAAAACCTGAACAGGGTCTCATAATGCAATTTTTCCCCCTTTGAGCATGAGAAATGACCCAAAGTCCTTGACAGAACTGCACACAACATTGTCTGGAACTACACTGAAGGCATTATGGTCAATTGTTTTGTTCTTCCTTTGCATTTAATTATATCATCAGAACTATTGTCATGATTACCATACCCCCCCATGATATTCTGAGCACCTACTATACTTAGGAACTCATGCCAAAATATGAGCATTTCCTTCCTGTGACAAAAAGCATGTATATGGGATGCCACCACAACATGAGGCATATGAGTTTGGTGTAGAGCCCAAGCTCCAAATGTCAATAGTTCATAAAAAGACTCATGTTGGAAGAAATTAGGCTGGAAGCTTAGAAACAATCATATCTCAGTATGAGGAGAGGAAGGTCATTGATAGTAAGGTAATATGCATTGAACAAAAATACATATACACTCACAAAAATGAAACAATATAGATATGCACATGCATGCATATGTACCCGGGAAGGAAGTTGTAGTCAGCAAAGTGATTCAGAGGTTATATCTCTTTAGAGATACATGCACACCAGTTTTTCTAAGGTACAACATTGCCTGAGTAAAGAAACCATGGAGGAAAGTGATAGATAAGTTGAAGCTAGAAAGAAGGCAGAAAAGAGGGAAAGTCAAAGAGAAGAAAGGTGATAGGGAGGTAGGGAATGAATAAGAGAGAAAAATGAGAAGAAGCGGAGGAAAGAAACTATGTTCAGTCTAATGGATCAAGATCTTACTTAAGCAAAAGTGCATTTTTTTAAAGGGCTTTCAGTAAACTGTCCATGTGTTCCATTTGTCTCATGCCCTCTCAGTGTAAAATACACACATTACTACCTTACAGGGTGGTTGCAAATACTAACAGAAACAACAGCTGCTGCTAGTTGATGTATTCCCATTTACCAAAAATTTCATGATAATTATGGTTTATGATTTGCCACTACTCAAGTGGATTTTATTTTATTTTGCTTTACTATTATTATTTTTCATTTGGACTGGGTCTCACTATGTCATCAAGGCTGGAATACAGTGGCACAATCACAGCTCACTGCAACCCTAAACTCCTAGACTCAACAGATCCTCCAGCCTCAGCCTCATGAGTAGATAAGATGACAGTCATGTGCCACCAAGCCCAGGAATTAATTTTTTGTTTAAATAGAGACAGGGTCTCAAGCAATCGTCCTGCTTTGGCTTCTCACACAGTGGACTTTATTATACCCATGCCACACTGGAGGAAAATGGTGCTGAGAGATGGCAATTAACTAGGAGCAGAAGTGGAATGCAAAGACAGCTTTCATGTATTCTAAACCTGGAGCCATTTTTTGTTGTGCCCCACTGGTTCATAAGCTGTCATGTTCTATAAAATAAAGTGAAGGACACATGACTGCACACATACAGGCATGATTGAACCACTATGTGCAGAGATCTCCATGCTTACATAAGCAGATTCAAGAAGGCATCCAAACATGCCTCATATTCCCCCTCCCACAAACCGGTTAGAGATGGACTACCTCTGATTCTACTAGGTACTTGCATCAAGAAAGGAATTGCATTCAGGTTTGGTGAGAGTCTATAAATGATGTTGGAACCCAAGAAAAAAGTCAAGAAAAATGTCCTAGGTTTCTTAAATTAGACTGAAAAAAGCAAATAAAAATATTCTACAATAACAAAAATCTAGGTATCTGCAAAACACAATATCCTATCTCCTCCTTTTTCATCCATCTCTGACCTAGCACTCCCTCTTTATCCTTTAGATTCACTCACCTGTCCTTACCTGTCCTTGCAGTGCAGGGAAGTAACCCATAACCTCTAAGGCATGGGGAAAATAGGCAAGGTGTTAGTCTGCTCTGGTTTTTATTTTTAGACTTGATTGTTGTAATAGGCAAGACCAAGTATTAATTATTGGCTTTCTTATTTGCTTCTGACTTGGGTTTAGCCTTTTCCACACTCTCTTGTGTACTGACTATCTTCTGGTTTCATCAATGTGTGGTTATTACAAAGATCTGTTTCGCTTAGCTCTTCCTCATTCATACTTATTCCTTTGTAGAGTCCTCAGTTTTTCTCATAAGACTTTGGACTTCTGGAAAATCATTTCTCACTCACTGAGATACACCTCACTGCTCACTGTTTTCAGAGTCCAATAGGAGGCACAGATTTTTTGTTGGTTTGGTTGGTTGTTGGCTTTGGGCCAGGAGCTTGACCCTTGTACTCTCCCTCTTCTTCTTCTTTCTAAATGGTTTCTTTATTGTGGAGTGAACATTCTGACCCATCCCTCTGTCTATACCATGATTATGTAAACTTGGCCTGCTCTTGTGTAACTGTCAACTATATGAGGTGGGACCCAATAAAAACCAGAATCAGTATTTGTAGAGTGGGCCCTTTGTAGTACAGGCTTCCCCCACTAGGTGTTTTAGGAACCCATTGGCATCAGGTACCAGCTAAAATTGTAATGAGAGGCTGCATTCCACTTCAGTGATTTTTTTTGAGTCTTTCAAAGTGTTTTCCAATTTCATGATGGGTGTTTTATGAGTGTACTTACCCATAATGGGCTGAATATTCAGAAGTCTTTTACCAAAATGACATGACCTCCATGTCCTACCCCAAGCAACTTTTTTGTTTGTTTGTTTCCCTGGATGAAAAAAGTCCTCAGAGGGAAAATTTTGCCAATGTGGAAAAGGTGAAACAAAAAGACAGCAGAAGAATTAGAAGGCATCAAGATTAATGAGTTTTAAAACTGTTTTAAACAGTAGAAAAAGCATCTCAATAGGTGTATTGCATCAAACAAAGATACTTTGAAGGTGACTGAAGT